CTCATCTGGTGGATCTGACTTCAAGCACTGGGCTCCTTTGCCTTTCCTTCACTTGGCCCTGCCCAGGGACAGCCCGTCTACAATCTCCCTAGTGTCCAGCAGAGGGAGCACTCGCCACAGCCTACAGAGAGGCCGGTGGGGCCAGAACGGAGTATGAACGATCTACCCTCTTCTTTTAGGCAGAAAACTGCGGAGGGGGTAAGGTTTCTGAGGGGAGTCTCCCAGGTCAGTTGGGTACAAAGGATGAATAGGTAAGGCTGGTGTTATTCTGGGGCGGTTTCAATCCGGGCCCACCTAACCCTTTTGGTCTCTGTTTTTGGGGACCAGGAAAGGGACTGTAAGGGAAGGCTTTGACAGAGTGAAAAAACAAAGTCACCATCCCTTAGAAAGGAGCAGCGAGGAAGGAGAGGGTGCTGCTGTCCCTTTCCTTTCTCAGACTCCAATTTTAAATCCATCCCGGGTTTTCTGGTCTCCCGGGAGTGAGGGTGGGGTGGGGCGGGGTGGGGTGTAGAACAACCAGGAGCGGGCCGCCGGGCGCGGTGGGTGATCCCGGGATGCTGGGATTTAGGGTGAGGGCGGAGTAAGATGGGGAGCGGAACCCGGACCCCACGACCCAGCCTGAGCCCCGCAGCCTGAGCTGCACCCTCCCTTACTACTCCCTTCCCTGCCGAGATCCGGATCCCACATCCAAGACCTCCCAACTCGACCTGGCACTAATGTTGGGGGCGGGGGGCACAGCTGGCTGGCAGCTGGATGGGGGGACACTTCTCCCTCCTCCTTCCTCTATGACTCACCCAGGGGAAGGAGGCAGGCTTTTAAACGACCCCCAAACACTAGAGACTCCCCAAAACTTGCCTACTCATCAGCCTGTCCCACTGCCTAGCCGCCAACGAACCTCGATGGAAATGGGGCAACATCCCTCCTCGCCCACGCGTGCCACAGACCACCCATGTCTCCGCTTCACACTAGTAAAAGAAAAATGTCGCCAACTCTTCCAGCTTCAGTAAAGTTTTTCTGGGGTGTAGATGAGAGTGCAGGATGGGACAGGGAACTCTAAGGTTCCCCTGCCGGAGGACTGAATTATCATCGGTGTCTCCCTGTTTTCCTGAGTCCCCCTCGCACCCCCGCTCCCCAACTCCCAGGAGTCGGCTCCGCCCCGCTTCTCCCAGTCCCGCCTTCCCCGCCCCCGTGCCTCCTCGGCCCACCCAAGTCGCCGCCGCAGGCTCTGGCTGCAGACGGCTCCGCTTCCCCCGCCCGCCCCGGGAGCCCAGTCGAGCGAGCCGTAGTTGGGGGGGCGGGGGGAGGCGGGACACATTCTTGCCTCCTCCTCTCTGAGCATCCGGAAAGCTGGCAGTAGCGCCCTGGGGGGCACTATTAGAGGGTGGGGGTCCCCGTGGTGGGGTGAGAAAGAAAGAAGAATCCATAAACTATGAGAGAGAGAAAATGACTGGATAAATAAAGTAAGGTGTGTATGAGGAGGAGGAGGGGCCAGGACACCTTAGGTTCAGGGTATCCCAGCCAGCTTCCCAAGGGTTAACCCCTCCAGACCCCTGGGAACCCCCTAGTGACGTCAAGGGCGGGGTCTGAGCCGTCGGGCGGGGATGCCGGCGAGATAATTGGGTGGGGGGAGGTCTCTGGACCCCGCCCCCTAGGGAAAACCACCCTTATTCCGGCCCTAACATCTCCCCCGGGAAACCGCCCGCCTTCTTCCTCTACCGGAACGTAAAGACCTATCCTATGAAGACCCCAGTTTTCAGCCCCCTAAAACCCTCAGTCTTCAGTCTCTACCGGATCCCCTTTCCCTAATCCTGTCCCCAAAGCTAACTGCCCAGGGCTGATTGTTTCGGGGTCATGGGGTCTGAAAGAGGATTGAAAGCGGGGAGCAAGGGCAGGCAGGGTGGTCTGAGCCAGAGAAGGGGCCTCGGTCCCCAGCTCCCGTTCGGGCGGGGGTCCAACGGGGATACACAGGCTGGCAGTGGCCAGTGGTCCCGCCCAGCCCCAGTAGGGGTCTCCCTGCTGCTGGCTCCAGCTGCCCTGGTGGTCCTGAGGTCAGAGGGTCAAGACAAGGTCTCCCCAGCTCCTCCTCAGCGCCCAGCCCGCAGCCTTTGCGACTCGGTAGTCCAAAATTCCTTGGGGTCATTCTAGGGCCTAGACTAGACCTTGGACAGCCCCTCCAGCCCCCTTCCTAGTCCAGAAGACACTTATTTTCCCCAAAACACAAGCATCCGTGGGCACATCTGTTACAGGACAGGTCAGGGGTTCCAGCCCAGTTGGTCCCCAGTGGTTCTGTTGCCTCACGCACTCACCCATCCCCACCCCACCTGGAGCGCCCTCCTTCGCCGTCCCTTCCTTTCAGATACACTGACGTCTTCCTGCCCCACGCTCAGAGACACACCTGGAGTTCCCTCTCTACCACGCAGACCTCCAGCTAGCCATCCCTCCAGCCTCTTCGTTTCAACCTCATGAAAGTGAGATGTTTCAAATATGTGGGAGAGGCGGAAAGAGACAAAGAGACCCACGGTTGCCTGACACAGAGATACACAGACTGTCAAGAAAAAAAAGAAAAAGAAAATACAGACAAAGATACAAATGAAAAATCCTCCAAACTTTCTACTATCTCACTCCGCTCTTCCACCCCCATTTTGCCTCTGTGCCCCGGGGTCTGGGATGAGTCCCTCGGAAGCTGAGCATCCCCTCAGGCCCCCTCCCCCACCGCTACCAGGTGGTCCCCCGCCTGCCCCCCTTCTCACCTCCGTCTGGGCGCTGGGCTCGGGATGCGCGGTCCAGGGCTGGAGTCTGGGCTGGGGGGTGTGTGGTGGGGAGGGGGGGCGGACAGGGCCACGGCAGCGCAGCCTCAATGCCACCCCCACCCCCCCAACCTGGCCCCCAGCCCTCCCGCCGGCCCAGCCCGCCGGGCCGCAAGCCCGGACCACCCGCGAGAAGCGCAAACTTTTTTTTTTCCTTTTGCAAAAACTTTTTCTCGCTCCAGCCGCTGGCGCGCCACCGCTCTTCCCGCTCGCCCCTCACCTCCCTCCTATTTCCCTCCCTCTTGCTGCTTTGAAGGATGAGGCGGGGTAGCTGGAAGCAAGAGAAGGGGTGCCGGGCTTATTGCACCCCCAGGACCCCCAGGATCCTCCCCCTCCCTTGAGGGACCCTATACTGCCTACCCCCCCGCCCCGGCTGAACACGCTGCTGTTGGTGAACAGTAAATCCCGGCATGGATCCTTGGATCGGCTGTCCCCAAAGAGACCCTGAACCAGAGCCAGAAAAACAGATTGAGGAAAATATTGCGGGGCTGAGGTGGGTGGGTGGGGAGAAGTTCACCAAAGAAAGATAATATTGGAGGTAGGGTAGTAGACTTTGATTGGTGCAAACTGAGCATTCTGCCATCCTGTGGTTTATCTCCTGGCCTCGTTCTGTGGATGGAACTTGGAGAGGCTGGACAGAGCTGGGGGTTTGGGGCAAATCGAGTTAAGGGCTTGGGGTCTCTGGCAGAAGGTGAGGGATCTACGATACATAAAAGAGAGGAGCAGCGGCTGAGGCTGGGTGCAGGGTGTGTGTTCACAAAGTTATAAGGAGCCCTGGATCTGAAGCACCTTTCCCGAGAACCCCGCTCTCCATCTCGAAGTTGTGAAGACCTCCGCACCTCTACACTGCAGGCTCTTTTTCGGTTCGTCAAGGCTTTCTGCTCCCTCTGCTGGCCATTCTGGCACAGGACACCCTCTCGGAGTCGAGGCAGAGGGGACCGGGAGCTGAAGGAGGAGCTTTGACTGGTTCCCTCACCAAACCCCATTTAGGAGCCCAGGGAGGGGATGTGTGAGCCCAGAGAAAGGGAGAGGCACACCGGCAGAGGATGCTAGTGCCCGGCGGTCGTGCCTGACAGGGATGTGCCCTATCCCCTTAGATTTGTGTTGCTGTGGTGACCAGATATGGAGGAGGGGCAGCTATTTCAGTCTCTCTGACTTTTAGGAGAAAGAGGAAAAAGCATGGTGGGAGAAAGGAGTCCCTTCCCCTTTCTGTCACCTTCTCAGACAGACCTCCCACATCCTAGCTCTGCTTCCAAGGACCACCTCCTTGGGCATGGAAGGTTAACTGTTCAGACTGTCAAGGGGGAAAAGAAAAGATGAAGTTAGGGGAAGGTCTGGGACTGTGACCAGTTAACTCAGAGGTTCAGGACCCAGCTCAGTCAAGCAAGACCAATGGTCACTGAAAAAGAAGGCACCCCACACATGCTCCTGTCCCAGACTCGTGCTTCTTCTTCCAGAGGAGGTCTTTAATTTATATAGTTATTTTTAGAGATGGGGTCTCGATATGTTGCCCAGGCTGAAGTGCAGTGTCTATTCACAGGTATGATCATAACACACTGCAGCCTCAAATTCCTGGCCACAAACGATCCTCAGCCCCCCAAGTAGCTAGGGCTACTTGCGCCCAGCAAGAGAGGTCTCTCAGAACACACTGTTTTCTTCTCCCCACTCAATTCTGTAGATCAGTAATTCTCAGGTGTTTTGGTTTTGAGACTCCTATATACTTATAAAATTTATCGAGCTTCTGTTTGTGTGATTTATATCTATCCATTCACCATATTAGAAGTTAGAATTGAAAAAACTGTAAGACACAAGAATACACAAGCACACATTCCATTAACAATGATGTTAGATGATGTAATCACAAGCTGCACAGCCTCTGGAAAACTCCACTGTACAATTTTGAGATAATGAGAATTAAAAAGGCAAATAACATCTTAGTATTATTGTGAAAAGAGATTTGACTTTGTGGACACCCCTGAAAGGGTCTCAGGGACCTCCCAGAGGTCCCCAGACCACATTCTGAGAACTGTTGCTCTAGACCATCACCCTAATTCTTCTTCATAACTCACACTTGTTGATTTTCTTTCTCATTTTATTAAGAAAGTATAAAGCTTGTCTCCCCAGTGGATCCTGTGCCCTAGGGAAGACCAGAGAACTTCTTAGGCTTAGCGCCCCTCTCTCTTGACTCCCATTTCTGGGACTCCCCTAAACATCGTCCCCCAGCACCTTGCCCATTTCCCCCTTGGCCCTCTCTTAAAACACTTCAACAGTCCTTAGCCTCGGCCAGCCTGTATGCCCTGCCACAAGCCTGCTTCCTCCTCCCCTCACTTGAGGACGTTCTCTTCTTGGGAGAGACTAAGTAATTTTTCTTTGTCTTCTCCTCCCCTCCCTCCCTCCCTAGCCCCTGTCATCTTCTCACAGGACTTAGGGTAGGAAACCATGCTTTCTGGGTAGAGCCCTTTAGAGGAAACACTTTACCCCTCTCCCCACACACCAACCAGCCTAGAATAGGCCAGTGTCTGGAACAAGAAAGTGCCCATTTGGGTCCCCTGGGATCAACCCAGACATATTGTCAGGTGGCTGTTGGGTGGGTGTGTGGATCAGGAATCTGATGCCTCCAGCCTCAGATGCCCTTTGCCTGGGAACCCTCAACTTGATCTCTTCACTCTAAATCCCCAGGTCCTCTTGCTAGCTGCAGCCACAGGCCTCCACCACCATATCTGGCACATCCGTCTTGACCACGTTGCCATTATGGTCAAGGTAGAGGAGAGAGAGAGGCCTTCGGGCAGTGGGGACACAGCAGGAGGTACTGGCAGGCCAAGGATTATTGGCTTTGAGGAGGCTGAAGACAGCAGAATGGAAAGAGGCAGCAATGCCCGGGCTGCCAGCCAAGTGCAGGGGGCACTGCCCACTGCAGTAATTCAGCTGGTACCCCTCGGGCTGCAGGATCCAGTCACGCCATCCCAGCTCCTGGAAGTCTACATAATGATCTCGCCTACAACATAAGGGGTTCCCAGGCTCACAGGTGGGGGTCCTCCTCCTGGCCCGGCCTGCTCCAGACTCCTTGGCCCGGATCTTAAGCTCCAGGAAGGGCCGCTGGTGTCTGGCTGTGTCCAGGAGCCACCTTGGTTGTTCAGTAACTGTACTGTTGCCTTCTAAGAGTCTGCAGTCCAGCTGGAGTTTCAAGACACCAGACTCCTCACCCCTCAAGCCACTAGAGGGCAGAGTCAGGGCGTGCCAGCCGGGGGTAGTCATTTGGTGTTCAGCGAGGAGGCTGCGGGACCCTCGGCGCCTCCTCCTTGAGCCCCATCGGGAGATCCTCAAGTAAAGAGTGCCACGAAGGGTGGGTAGCACGTGCAGCCAGAGGCGGGCGTGGTACAGGTAGTGAGACCGAGGAGTGGACAGGTGGAAGGTGAGCATGGAGCTGCAGGTTGAAGTAGAGGAGTCTGCCCAAAAGATGGAGAAGGCAAAGAGAAATGTGAGCAGAGATGAAGCTCTCCTCTGAGACTGCCCCAAGCCCTGCCCATTGCTCTCCCTCACACCCCCCTTTAGGAAAAGCAGGGACTGCCTTGTGTCCTCTGCAACCAGTCCCTGCCCCAACTCCTCCTTCTCCTGTCACACCCCACTCCCTCTGCGTCTTCTGCCAGGCTCCCCTTCTGCCTCCCCTTCCTTGTCTGCTCTCTGTCTGTCTCTCTCCCTCACCCACCTGTGATGGCAGCAAAGCTGATGACCTCCTCCCCATTCCCTGCAGCCACACTCCCCAGCTGTAGTCTCCGAAGGGCTCTGGTCAGCACTGCCTGGGGTGGAGGATGAATTATTCTGGGACGATTGGTCAGGCGCAGCCCCTCCAGAATTTGCTGCTTGGCTAGCTCCAGCACCAGAGCTCGCTCTGCTTGGGGTGCCAGTGTGGGGCCCCCACAGGAGGGACACACAGATCCTGTCCCCTGTGCCCACACCAGTGCCCACAGCAGCGCCAGTGAGAGCTGGACATCAGAGAGGCCCATGCTCCTGGTGAACTGCCCTGGCTCAGGGCAGTTGCTCGGATGGCAGTTGCTCCGTCTGTTGAGTCTGATTGCATGGGAGCCAATGAGGGCCCAGTGGCAGCAGACACCAGTGCCACACCTACCCTTGGCCAAACCTGTCTTCTATTGCCTAGGACTCAGGAAGGCTGAAAGTAGATCATCTGATGGGTAGCTGTGTTTGACCCTCACACCTCCTGTCTGGCTACTGACCTGGGGCCTCTTTAGAGCCAGCTGCTGGGGGCTCCCAAACCTAATGGTCAGCCTGCTGACCTACTCTCTGAGCCCCAGGATTGGCCAGCTGTGCTGTTCATCAGGCCCTTGCAGGGGGTGGAGGTCCCCCCCTCCCAGCTCAGGTTTCACCATCTGGCCATGATGACTGGGCTTGAGGTAGGGGTATGGGGGTTGGGGGGAGCAATGTGGACATGCATGATGCAAGAAAGAGGATGATTTCACATGCTCAGTCCCCAAGGTCTGGGACTGGGGGAGGGAACTCCATATGAGCCAGGTGGGGAAGGGCAATTTTCTGCCATACCTCCAGTCTTTGTAACTTGACCACTGCTGCAGCAGTTGCCATAAGCCAGCTGTGAGTTCCAGTGGTTATTTCTCTAGGGTCTCTTTGCCACAAGGAGAATTCTGATCTCTTTATTTCTAGCACTGGGGCTGAGACAGGGGTTAGGGTGGGGGGTGCACAGTTAGAGAACAGAGCCCTCTTGCTCAGGCCCAGGTGGCAGTGCCACGAGGCACGGAAGTCACTTCCTGACCTTGGCTGTGCTGGCTGCCCAGAGTCCAATTGGACTGGAGCACAACATGGAAGAGCGCCAGGGAAAGCGGGGGTAGGGAACACGTTACCGTGATGTCTGGGGAAACCCAGAGAGGTGGTGGTAGTGGTGATGCAATCTTATGCAGAGCATAGTCCATCAGGGCTGGCAGAAGGGCACGTGACTTGGGAAGGCCTGTACCCAGCTGCTGCTTCTCTTTCAAGGGACTGTGAGAGTTGCCTAAATTTGGGGCATTCTAGAAGCAGTGCCACACCTGTTTTTGTTTTTGTTTTTGTTTTTAGAGACAGGATCTCACTCTGTTGCCCAGGTGTCTGGAATGTAGTGGCTCAATCATAGCTCACTGCATCCTTGAATCCTGAGCTCAAGCAATTCTCCTGCCTCAGCCTCTTGAGTAGTTGGAACTACAGGCACGTGCCACCACACCCAGTTGATTTTTCTATTTTTTTGTAGAGATGGGGGTCTCACTATGTTGCCCAATCTGGTCTCAAACTCCTGGCCTCAAGTGATCCTCCCAATTCCAGCCTCCCAAAGTGCTGGGATTACAGGCATGCTCAGGCCCAGACCTCTGTTAATGGGGATGGGAAATGGGAGGTTTAAGGACTTTTGAGAACAAAGCAAGGAGAGTTCAGCAATCTTAGTCTCCAATCTTAGCTCTCCTTACCACACTTTCTCACATTTTTAAATGGGAGGGCCAAGGCCCCTCCACCTTGAACTCATGAAGGTGGGCCTCATGCTAACTTTTCTCTTTATATCCCAGTTTCTTTTTTTGAGACAGAGTCTCACTCTTTTGCCCGGGCTAGAGTGAGTGCCGTGGCGTCAGCCTAGCTCACAGCAACCTCAAACTCCTGGGCTCAAGCGATCCTCCTGCCTCAGCCTCCCAAGTAGCTGGGACTACAGGCATGCGCCACCATGCCCGGCTAATTTTTTCTATATATATTTAGTTGTCCGATTAATTTCTTTCTATTTTTAGTAGAGACGGGGTCTCGCTCTTGCTCAGGTTGGTCTCGAACTCCTGAGCTCAAACAATCCGCCCGCCTCGGCCTCCCAGAGAGCTAGGATTACAGGCGTGAGCCACCGCGCCCGGCCCATATATCCCAGTTTCTTCAAGAAGCTTGAGGGAGAGAAAGCTGTGGGGGAAGTGAGTGTGATTTGGAAATGTGTCCCTACTCCTCTTTATTCATCTCCCCTCTACTTAGCCAGTGCGCACTGTCAAGAGGGACAGAGAGATCTGGCACCAGGGGGACACAGTTTGCACTGTGAGGGCTGGGCCTCAGTACCACCAGTGTCCACCATGTGGCAGTGCTGTGCTACTGGACGGCAGGTGGCTGGTAGCTGACTGGAGCTTCCCAGGTACAGGGAAGGGGCTGCTCTGGGCAGTGGAGCAAGGAAGCACTCCTCAACCTCTTGCTTCTGGGGACCCTGTTGCACCCACAGGAGACAGGGAGAAGCTGGATCCTCTGCCCTTTCCCCGTCGCCACTGCTGGAGAGCAGAGGCTGTCCTCAGGACCCACCTCACTGCTACCTTTGGTTTTGGACCTCATCACAATGACACGTGGCAATGGAGCTTGGTGATCAGTGCCAGGTTCTTCCTAGAACTTCAAGGGGAGGAGGGGCAATGAGACTCGTAAACCCTCCTGTCCACCCTGCATTTCTCCCCAGGCCTCGTAACATATTTAAGCCCTCTGCCCAGTGCTCTCCCCAGGCCCCAGCTCCCTCTCTGTTGCTGGCGGCTGATGAGTGACAGCCCTCTACCCACTGGGATCTGGAATTGCAAAGTGGAGAAGTCTGCCCATGGTGGTGCCTCAGAGAGCTTACCTGTTGGTGTCAGGAGACAGAGTCAGGGGAAGCAACAAGAAGTGGCTGCGGGAGTCGCTGACCCTATCTCTCCCCACACTCTGGGTTGGGTGCCCCCAATTTCCAGCTCTTCCCACCCCCTTGCTGCTGCGCTGGCCTGGCCCTACCTCCCCACTGACACTTACGTCAGAGCTCAGCTATAAATATGCTCTTAGCATCTTAGTCACTTTTCCCAAGAAGTGCTCCCAGGTTATAAATACCCCAGCCATCTGCCTCACTGCCTGCCCTACCACCAACCTGGTTGGGGGCTGGGGGGTAGCAACAACAGGTTTGGGGTGGGTAAGGAAGTAGAAGTGGGAGTGGTTATCTTGCCCAAATGAGAAAAGCCTGAAGGAGTCTAGAAGTAGGGGCTAGGAGGCTCTGGAAGAAAATATTTGGAAAAAGACAGACCCACTCTTTCCCCTTTTTACAGAAAGCAGAGCCAAAAAAGAAAGGGAATAATACTGATCCTATGTTTATTTTAAAATATGCTATTTTGTTCATTGCGAATTTTTTTGCATTTTGATTTTTTAAAAATACTGCATTTAAATCTTATTTATCTTGATTGATGACTTTTTTTGCCATCCCCTTAAAATTTTGCTCCCAAGGTGAGTGCCTCATTTCACCTTACGCTAGTCTTAGCCCTGGTGACTAAAACTGTAGCTGGAGGGAAGGAAGTTAGATGGGGTGGGGAAGGGGGATTGGGAGGGGGCGACAGTGGCAGAAGGGAGAGGGAGAGACACCAGAAGACCTCCTTAGATTCTCCTTAGATGAAGGTCTCCTCGAGTCAAAGGTGGGATAACTTCTATGGGTTGCTCAGAAAGCCCCCCAGCTCAGATTTGCAGTCCCTCAGGAGGTCCCTTCAGACTTTCTCTCCTAGGTCTCCTATTTCAGGGACCTCTTACCCTGGTAGGAGAGGGTTATAAGCTGAGCAAACACAGACATCACGTTCACCAAAGGACACATGGGTTTTACGCAAACTCGGCCTTGGGCTGCAGACAATATCGACCCACCATTCAGGGCTGTCCAGCCAAAGGGAGGAGATGGTGGGGGAAGAAGGGCAAAGGTCTAAAGAAGACCTCTCTCAGAGCAAATGCCACCCATTCCTCACCCCAGGGCTTCCTCTTCTCCCTGGCCCACTCAAGCAATCCTTGCCAGTTCCAGCTTCCAGGCAGGACTCCTGGATGCAGCCCTGGGGGTGGGTGAAAAGCAGGCAAGTCAGAGGTGCTGGTAGCCAGCTCTGAGCATGCCTCTGCCTCCCACCACTTATGTGACCACAGATTGTTGGCTTACTTAATGGCTGAGCATTGATCTGTCTCATCTTTTGGAGTGAGTACAGAGGGAGGAGAGGAGCAGGTAAAATCTAGGTCTTTATTAGCCATGAGACCATCAAAGACGTTTCTGGAAAGATGAAGGGGGAGCTTAAGAAAGAAGAGGAGGCAGCCTGGGGGAGGAAGAGGCATGAAGTGTGAGACGGATACAAGAGCTAAGTCCTGAGCAATCCATGTTAAGACAAAGCAGAGTGGGCAGGGCAGGCAGGCTCTGTGTCCTCTGGGGTGGCAGTTAGGATCCTGGCAGTAGACAAAGGACCTACTCAGCTGTCTGTGTTTGTCTCATCAAGAGGACATAGTGAAAGAATTATTCAGAGGTGTAGGAAGGGTTAAGAGAACCATAAGGGATATTGAAACCCCCAGAGACTAGCAAAGTGGAAAGTCATTAGGACCCCCTGATGTTGAAGCAACGATATCAGAACCTAGGCAGAGGGGGAGCCATGAAAGAGGTAATGAGAGGTGCTATATAGACACAGCACAGCCACAGGTACACAGAACTATGGCACCTAGGCAGAGAGGAAGCAGGAATAAGAAATACCCTGACTTCTGTCTCCTCCTATCCTTTGGTATCCCGCCTGTGTCTTCCCTTGGTCAAACTCAGCAGGAAGCCAGAGGGCAGAGGAGCTCAAGTGATGTAGCTCAGGTAATTCGGCCCCTAAGAACATAGAGCAAGGAAGAGAAGGACAGAAAGTGAATGAGAGAATGCAAAGAGAGCATTTTTAGCTCACCTGGGCAAGTAAGAAGGAAAGGGCCTCAAGACTCAGAGCGGGGTAAGCCCCACTTTGGAGAGCAGTGATCTAATCTTTGGTGGATCCAAAGAAGGGGCTTTCTGGAGATCCAGAAAATCAGGGGAAAGGGCTGGGTCAACTCATCCTAGAGTGGGGACCATTGTGTGGAAAGAGCAGGGAGGCATGGTGGATTATGGGGTTAATTAAGGGTGAGCTAATGGTGTCTTTGCCTGGCAACCAGGTGGCATTGCTCAGGGTGGGAGGTGGGTCCAAGTCCCTGGAGTGGGGGTTGAGCAGGTGGAGCTAGCTGGATGGACTATGCCGTAGGAGAGACGCTAGTGGTCGTGAAGATGGTACAGTGACTCTCCTTAAATGAACTTCTCATCAAGTCAAAGGTGGGATAATTTCTATAGATTGCTCAGGAAGAGGGAATCTACATTCTGGACAGAGAATGGGGTCAGTCCCTCCTCTCAAAGAAGGGCATTTCTTTCTGCCCTTTATGCCCAAGGGTGTTTGCCCACCTTGGGCTGCCTGGACCACACATAGGCTAACTGCACCCACAGGCATCTACCACCATGTCAGGTATGTCGGTCTTGACAATGTTGCTGTCCCTGTCATAGTACAGCAGAGACAGGGGGCGCCGGGCTGTGGGCACACAGCATGAGCCCCCTCCAGCGGTGCCTGCAGCTATGTTGGCCTTGAGCAGATTGAGCACCGAGGTATGAAAGGAGGCAGCAATACCAGGCATGCCTGCCACATGGAGCGGGCACTGCCCTGTGCAGAAGTTCATTGCATAGCCCTCAGGCTGTATAATCCAGTCATGCCAGCCAATCTCACGGAAGTCCACAAAGAACTCTTGTCGACAGCACATTCTGGACCCTCCCTGGCAGTCGATGCCTCGTCGTCGAACCCGGTGCTTGCCTCCAACTCTCACCTGGACGGTTACAAAAGGCCTATGGGCAGCCCCAGCCAAGATGACTGGGCTCTGGGCTACCTGGCCTTCAGGTACCAGCTCCAGGGTCAGATGCCCCTGGCTGTAGGCAGCCTGAGCTTCAGGCCCCAGGAGGAGCTGGTGCCAGCCACTGGCATCCACCTCCAGTAAGTGCTGAGTAGCCAAGGTGAGGTTGGAGTCATGTGGGCCTAACACAAGGACTCTCACTTTCAAAGTCCAGGTGGTATTGAGAGGGAGCTGCACAAAGAACATGAGGCTGGCCTGCTGAACCTCCATGCCACCAGCAGTTGTATCAGAGAAGTGAAAATCAAGACGAGTCTGGTTGATGTTGGAGAGGCCTGTGGACACAAGAAGCCCCGGTCATTGTGGCCTTCTAAGTGTCAGTGCTACCAATTACTTCTCTATATTCGGTATACTTGAACTCTCTGTAGCACTTGGCATTTGCTATGGTTTGAATATGTCCCCCAAAGTTCATCTGTTAGAAATTTGATTCCCAGTGCAGTCGTTTTGGGAGGTGGGGCCTAATGGGAGGAGTCTGGGTCATGGGAGCACTGCCCCAGGCTTGGCACAGTGCCTCACGCCTGTAATCCTAGCACATTGGGAGGTGGAGGTGAAAGGATCTCTTGATGCCAGGAGTTTGAGACCAAACTGGGCAATAGGAGACCCTGTTTCTACAAATAATTTTTTAAAAATTAGCCGAGCACAGGCACAATGGAGCACACTTGTAGTCCCAGCTACTCGGAAGCTGAGGCAGGAGGATCACTTGATCCCAGGAATCTGAGGTTGCAGTGAGCTATGATGACACAACTGCTCTATAGCCCAAGACCCTGTCCCCCCTCCAAAAATAAAAAAGATGAATTCAGCTCTCACTCCCCCTACCCTCTCTTTGCTCTCCTGCCATGGATGATGCAGCAAGAAGGCCCTCACAGATGCCTACTCCTTGATCTTGGACTTCCCAGCCTCCAGAACCATGAGCTAATAAATTTCTGTTCATTGTAAACATTGTAAATTACCCACTCTGTGGAATTCTGTTAGAGCAGCACAAAATGGACTAAGACAGCATTGTTGACCACTCTTTCCTTCTTGAAGAGCCTTTTTCTCTTGGCTTCCATGATACAACTCTCTTATAATTCTTCCTTAGTTTTCTTTGCTGGTTTTCTTTCTCTGACCATCCCTTCAATACAAGTGTTCTCCAAGGTCTGTCTTTGATTTTATTTCCTTTTACTCTACATTGATTGGAGCTCTTACTTACACTCATGATCAGCCAACACAACTTTTTTTTTTTTTTTTTAGAGACAGGTCTCACTCTATTGCCCAAGCTGGGGTACAGTGGTGACTTCATCATTCACTGCAGCCTCAAATTCCTGGGTTCAAGTGATACTCTTGCCTCAGACTCCAGACACAGGCATGTACCACTGCACCTGGCTAATTTTTTCTGTTTTTTGCGGGGGGAGGGGGGACAGAGTCTCGCTCTGTTGCCCAGGCTAGAATGCCGTGGCATCAGCCTAGCTCACAGCAACCTCAAACTCCTGGGCTCAAGCAATCCTTCTGCCTCAGCCTCCCAAGTAGCTGGGACTACAGGCATGGGCCACCATGCCTGGCTGATTTTTTCTATATATTTTTAGTTTTCCAGCTAATTTCTTTCTATTTTTTTAGTAGAGATGGGGTCTCGCTCTTGCTCAGGCTGGTCTCGAATTCCTGAGCTCAAATGATCCACCTGCCATGGCCTCCCAGAGTGCTAGGACTACAGGCGTGAGCCAACGTGCCTGGCCAATTTTTTTAAGAGACAGGTCTTACTATGTTGCCCAGATTGGTCTCCAACTCCTGGCCTGAAGTGATCCTCCCACCTCAGCCTCCTGAGTCTCTGGGATTATAGGCTGAGCCACGGTGCCTGGCAAGCAACACAATCTTTATGTTGGTGTTTCTCAAATCTGTATGTCCAGCCCAGACCATTCTGCACGCCTAGGCTGGACATATAGATTTGGAAATCCTCAAGCTTCAGTCCTAAATTTCTAACTGCTTAATTTTGTCACACGAATGAACTGCCAGCATATTAAAGTTGATTTGTCCCACCCTGAAAATCATTGTTTTCCTTTCTGTATACCCCTTTTTCCATTCTTGGTGGCAGTACCACTCTCCTTATTACCTGTAAAAACCCTATGATCACCTCCCTCTCTCCCCAGATCCTGCCCCTCATCAGAATGGTTCTAATGTCTGTGCATTTCTTTATGTTCCCATTACTACTGCCCAATTTCCCCTCATCATTCCTGCCCTATTAAAACATGGTAACTGGGTTTCTATTCCCTCCACTCTACTGAAATTGCTCTTGTCAAGATGACCAATACCTTCCACATAGCAAACCCCTCTGTTTATGTTCATCTTACTTGACCTTTAAGCAGTTTTGACACAGTTAACCACACCCTTCTTCTTAAATATTTCCTTCTCTTGCCTTTCATGACACTAGCCACTCCATCTTTGTTTCCTTTGCTGACAGCTCCTCTTTCTCTGCCTGGCCTCTAAATGTTGGAGGTTTTGAGCTCCCTTCTCTTTTCTATGTATACTCTCTCCCAGAATGAACTCGTCAATTCCCATGGCTTTCAATTCAATCTATATGCTGATGACTCCCAAATATATATGTCTGGCCCTGACCTTTCCCTCAGCCCCAGGCTTGTATATCCAGCTGCCTATCTGATATTTGACTTGGATATCCAATGATATCTCAATCTTTTCATGTTCAGAGAATTCTAGATTTAGCCTCACAATCCAAACCTGTTCCTTCTTTAATCTTCTCCTTCTCTGTAAGTGTACTGCTTAAGCCAAAACCTTGATTTCCCTCATCCCCTACTTTGAAATTATCTGGAAAGATTTATCAACTCTACTTCCAATTTATAATATAATTTCATTTCTCCCCAACTCCTATACTACACATTAGTCCAGTCCACAATCATCTACTTGAACTACAGCAATAGCTTCCTAAGTGGGTCATGCTTGCCCTCCAAACCATTCTCCAAATATCAGCCAGAGTGATCTTTTTATTACATAAATCTCATCAGCTTTATCTCCTCAGCTAAAAACCCTTCAAAGCCCATTGCTATTTGGATAAAATCTAAAACTCCTTAACATAGAAAACTTGTTTGGCCGGAGAGGTAGCTCATGCCCATAATCCTAGCACTCTGGGAGGCCGAGGCGGGAGGATTGCTTGAGCTCAGGAGTTCGAGACCAGCCTGAGCAAGAGCGAGACCCCCGTCTCCACTAAAAATAGAAAGAAATTAGCTGGACAACTAAAAATATATAGAAAAAATTAGCCAGGCATGGTGGCGCATGCCTGTAGTCCCAGCCACTCGGGAGGCTGAGGCAGAAGGATTGCTTGAGCCAAGGAGTTTGAGGTTGCTGTGAGCTAGGCTGATGCCACAGCACTCTAGCCGGGGCAACAGGTGAGACTCTGTCTCAAAAAAGAAAAGAAAAGAAAAGAAAACTTGTTTGATTAGGTAGTCTGCCATCTAACTACTACACCTCTATCTATATCGGTCTTTTTCTGTTCCTTGAACTCACCACACATGAAACAATCTCACAGCCTTTACACTTGCTATTCCTTTGCCTGGAATGTCTTTCCAAGATCATTTGGCATTCAGCTCAAATATTTCCTCCTCAGAGAGATTTCCTTACTAGCCTATCTAAAGAAACCTTTAACTCTACCTCCATCTCTCTTACATCATCCTGCTTAACTGTCTGGTTGTTTTGTTTCTTAAGAGATGGAGTCTCACTATTCACTATGTTGCCCAGGCTGGCCTTGAACTCCTGGGCTCAAGTGATCCTCCTCTCAAGTATCTGGGACTATAGGCGCATGCCACCCAGCCAGGCTCTGCTTAATTGTCTTCATAGCCACTATCACTTTCGGTAATCATCTTGGTTCTTTGTGCATTTGTTTACTATGTACTTTTCCTACCACTTCCTCCTCCTCCCAGCTAGAATGTATACTCCATGAAGGTAGAGATTGTGCCTATATGGTTCACCATTTTATCCCTAGTACTTGGTACATAGGAGATACTCAATAAACATCTGTTGAATGATCTTTCATTTCTTTAATTCTTTTATGGTGACACCAGAATTATTTTCTAAAAACTTGGATGGATCATAAAACTCATGTTCTCAAAACCCTCATTGGTGAATAAAGTCCAAATCCTTTTGGGAAGCAGTTAAATACCCACTATTATTTGGCCTTAGCTACCCTTGTTTTTCTTTTCCAAATAAAGGGTACTTTATTGTGAGAATGCAGTCGATACTTTCAAGGGCACAAAAGGGTGGGAAATATATTCACCTAGGCTTCTTGTGAATTGGAAAGTCAGGAATAAGGCTGCTCTTGACAGCTCTCAGAGCCAATATGATCTCTCTTATTTCTGTTTCTCTGCGTAAGTCTATTCCATGCTTCCGTCTCTGTGGATCTACTTCTGTTTCCTTGTCAGCTTCCTTAGGTCCCGAAATCGTGGTCCCAGCTCCTGAGTCTATAGGACCTTTTACTCAGCTCCTCTTAGCTAATTGAGCTGATCTTCCAGTGTCCCAATTCTAAAATCCTGGAAGAAGAGACTGATTGGCCCAACTAATCTTTTCTTGCTAGCTTACAAAACACCCAATATTACCTCTTAAGTCATTCCAGTTATGGCAGGCAGACACATGACAAGCAGAAGCTGTGGCAGACTATTATATTGGTGGCCCCCAATGACCAACACCTCCCAACATTCATGACTTTGTGCAGTCCCTTTCCATATCGAGTCTGGGTTTGGCCATGTGACTTGATTTCGCCAGTGAGACATTAGCAAGCATGGTGCTTACTAAGTACTTATATATTGAGGCTTCATACTCTTGGAAGCCAGCCACAATGCTTTATTTTCTTTTTTAATATTTAAAAAAAAATATGCACCGCTTCATGAATTTGCGTGTCATCCTTGCACAGGGGCCATGCTAATCTTCTCTGTATCGTTCCAATTTTAGTATATGTGCTGCCAAAGCGAGCACAGCCACATGCTTTAAAGAAACTTGGCCTAGACTACTAAATGATGAGAAGCCACGTAGAGAGAGACTTTGGAGGATCAGAGACCATCTTAGATGCTCCAGTCCCATCCGAGCTCCCAGCTGAATGCAGTTGAACGAGCTACCTCAGCTGCACCACATGGAGCAGAAGAACTCTCCAGATAAGCCTAGTCACGCCATGAAATCATGAGAAATAATGAATTTAATGTTTTAAGCTTCTGTGTTTTGGGCTGGTTTGTTATAGTAATAAATACTGAAATAGAAGTTGGTATCAGAACTGGAGTGCTACCATAACAAAAACCTAAACCATGTATTATAGCTTTGGCTTTGGGACTGAGTGGCAAGCAGAGGTTAGAAGGATGGGGAAGAGACTGTTAGCGAAGGCAGGAAGAACAGTGAGGAAATAGCTACTGGAAGCTGGAGAAAGGGGAACCTGTGTTATGTATTGGCTATCGTCTGCGGTAACTTAGAAGCCAGAAAAGATATCTAACAAAGTTGTGAATTTAGCTAACAATATTTTCAAGAAGATTGCTGAAAATGCCAATTGGCTTATTTTAGCTGCCTATGATAAGGCATTTCAGGAGAGAGATGAACTAAAAAAGAAACTGTTCAATTTTCAAGCAGAATTTAAAGAAAATATTTCTTTCTTTCTTTTTTCTTTTTTTCTTTTTCTTTGTGATGAAGACAGGGTCTCGCTATTGCCTGGGATAGAGTTCAGTGGTATCATCATAGCTCGCTGCAACCTCAAACTCCTGGGCTCCAGAGATCCTCAAGCCTCAGACTCCTAAGTAGGCACGCACCATCATGTCCAGCTAATTTTTCTATTTTTTGTAGAGACGGGGTCTCACTCTTGCTCAGGCTGGTCTTAAACTTCTTGCCTCAAGTGATCCTCCTGCTTCAGTCCCCCAAAGTGCTAGGATTACAGGTGTGAGCCACCATGCCCAGCTAGAGAAAATATTTCTAAAAGTACTTGTTAGATTAAACAATAAAATCTTTTTTCATTCCTCCCCTCTCTGTCTGACACAAGGCTCTCAAAGTAAGAAATTATCTCAGGACAAAAATCAAATCCAGGGTACTGCCAGTAAAAATGGCCTCAGAGTGAAGATCAAAACAAAATAAAGGGTCAGCAGTGAAACCTTTTGTTAGCTGGGTGCAGCAGCTCATGCATGTGCATAGTGAGACACAGTCTCTTAAAAAAAAAAAACAAACAAACAAGGCCAGGCTCCTGGGTCAAGCCTATAATCCTCTAGCACTCTAGCCTGGGAACAGAGTGAGACCTTGTCTCAAGACAAAAAAAAAACAAGACAAACAAATATAAACAAAAAAACCTCTTTGTTAAGATCTAACATCTTGGCTTGGTGAGGTGGCTCACGCTGTAATCCTAGTACTCTGGGAGATAGAGGTGGGGGATCACTTGAGCTCAGGAGTTTGAGACCAGCCTCAGCAGGGGCAAGACTCTGTCTAAACAAACAAACAGAAAAGATCTAACATCTTGTTGAGACCTGAAATTTAATATATGTGTGTGTGTGTATATATATATATATATATATATGTATGTATTTTTTTTTTTTTTTTTTTTTTTTTTTTTTTTTTTTTTTTTTTTTTTTTTTTTTTTTTTTTTTTT